TTTAAATGCACTAGAACAAAAGTATAGTCACAAAATAATTTGCCTATTTCTTTAGATCGGCTCCACTGCTGTCTAACACACTGTGTATAAAGATGGACGATTTCCCAAAAGTGAGGCCAGCGTGGCTCAATCGCCCCCTGGTGGATCAGAATAAAAAAGTAAATAAATTCCCGTCCAGTGAACTTTTCTCAAATACGTTTCCCGTCATTTCAGGTCGATCTCATCACACTGATGTTTGCTGTTGAGCTTCTTTTTAATTTGATGCAGTAAGAATGAGGGTGAAACGTCAGGATGGACTTTTTCATTTCGTGAAACGTTGAACAGAGACGTCAGGCTGGCTATTCCACGCTCCGATGTTTAGACGTGTGCATGATCCAAAGCAAGTCCTCCGTGCACATCCTGCTAAATACAGATCCTCCCACGTGACTTTGGTTCAGACTCACAGCTAAACCTGGTTTGCAGAAAAAGCAGACGTGTCAAATGTGAAATCATAATTCTTTCATAATGCTGGTGTCGGAGGTCGGGACGTTATCACTAATGAAATAAAAGGAGCAGACGTGATGTTTGAAATCTAATGAAAAAGAGAAAAGTAAATACGGATGACATGGTGTGTTTTGAAAGATATACTGTGCTCATATATTAAAAGACTGCCAATACCTGAATCCTGAATTAATTTCTGTGTAAGTGGATTAGGTTGAAATGAAACCTCCACAACTCACAGATCCTCTGATGACATGCGGGCGAGCGGTTCTGAACAGAGACGAGTTCTGCGTCGTCAATGAGATTTTAATTTGACTTTCCGCTTTTTAACATTCCCATCGTGCGTCTACGAGGAAATCTTAGAAATCTCGTCTCGTCGCCTCGGTTGCAAAAACTTCCAGGGGCATTTAGATTCTGACACGCGATGCGCTCCCGCCCATGCCAATGGGGAAATTGCTCTTCCGTTTGGTTTGTTTGCTTGTTTTCATCTGTGTGGATGCGTTCACTCGTTTTTTTCCCCAACTTTCTGCCCATGTTGTGTTGTCAGCACGTTCTGCTCCCCGAGGAGAGACGGAGGAGAAGGATTCACTCCGATCGGCTTCGTAGACGAGATGGGGACTCTTTTCTGCAGCATTTGCACATTACATGAGACTGTTCACTCCCCTCAGTACCACTGACACACAACCTCACTGTTCATTCATTTCACAGCTGAATCTCACTTTTTTTTAATTCTCATTCAAGGTGCAGTGTATCGAAGTTCATTCACTCTGTAAAACTTTAATTTGATGCTACATCACTGTTCAGAGTTCAATAATTTACACAAACTCCAATACTTGACTCATTGAATTTATGATGCTCCGCAGGTTTAACATTTAAAATGTGGAATCACACATAAAAAATGTTCCTCTGCTGTCAATTAAACTCCAACAGCTCATAAAACTGATAAAATCAGCATAATGAGAACTTTAAGTACATTTGGCTCATAAAATAAAGAAGGACCCCTGCATTCATCTGATCACGTGAAACACACAGCATATTTTAAATCTGTTATTTTCAAGGTTCCCATTTTATCCACCAATGTATAACTAAAATGTTTATATCTTAAAGAACGTGTATAAACTTCTGTGTATCTGAAGGAGGTCATCATCACATACAAGTGTCTGCACAGATTCTTTTGCAACAAACTTCATTCCCTCCTTTCTTAACTAAGTTTCTGCAGTTTCGGTTCCCTCCCTTCTAAGTATTGAGTATAATCATAATTCCGTCTCTGGCAGTGCATGTGTTTGATTTAAGAACCACCTGTTTGTTCAACAAAAACAAAATCCGGAGATGCCAGATTCATCTGCGCAAAGCCTTTTGTTTAACCTGAAATCAACTCTGGCATCCAAACGCTCCCCCGCGTGTTGCTCGCTCCCGCTCGGCTGAAAGAAGAAGGCGGACACCTCAAGGTTTCTACAGGTATTCATAATGTTTCAATCCTGTCACTCTTTGTTTTCTCCTTCGCTCCGCGGGGTCTTCTGTTTCACCCGGACCAGACAGCGAAGACACGCAACTCTGATTCTCAGATCTCTCCCAAGGTGTCTCTTAGCATTGTCTCCTCCAGAATCTGCAAATGACAGATGCCGCCTCCATCACAGCAACCTGCTGCAGTCAGGGGAAACCTATCTCCCACACCCGGGGTGGCTGTTCAGAATTGCAGATTTGACCGGGCACATCTCGGCTCCCAGCCTGGGGTTAGAGAGTCTCTCCTCTCTCCATCTCAGTCAAGCTGAAGCCAAACATTTGTATTCTTTTTTTCATAAACCCTCTGATCCCGCTGCTGTGGACTGTATCGCTGCCATCCCCCTGGAACACACAGGGAAGCATCCACGAGTCCCCCTCCTCACACAGCACCCCATCTTTCTTTTTCACCGGTAACCCCTCTGCTTCCCAGGGCTTATCTTCCAACTGGCAGACGTGGGAAATCACACCTCGCTCAGATAGCGGCTCTTTCTTCCCGCCTGCCTCCCTTGATCTCAGCCACTGTCATCCTCGCTCTGCTTCTCTTTTGCCCTCAGCTCTCGCACCTCTTACGCTGTCACTCCGCATCCAAGCGATCGGGCCTTCATTAGAACTGAGGCGCAGGTATGCGGGCGCTGCACACGCGGCTGCAAACCAAGCACGTTTTCACTCACTCTCTTTATTTACATATCCTCACATGAAATGTTCATGACCTACATCGACAGAATGCACATGCACCTGCAGCTAGAACTGAATTACATTAGAGGAGCAGAATAATTAGCTCTTAAGGATTTCTTTTTTTCAGTATTAACTGAAATGGTTCAATCAATCTGAGCAGCAAAAGCAATGATAAATATATAATTTATAGTGTTTGTGTGTCCGTGTTTTCCAAAGACGTGCAGGTTCAGTATGTTGGCTGTAGGTGTGAATTTGAGTGTGATGGAAACTGACAGATTAGAGACCTGCCACTCTCTACCATTGCATTATGGGATACATTCCATCCCCCACAGCTCTAGCCTGCATAAATCAATGTGGAGGATTGATGGAAGCTATACAAGGCCTCTAAATTTAAATTTACATGATGTTACTGAGAAACAGCGCCTTCTGACTTTCTTTCCCTTTGCCAATTGTGGTGTTCACCTTTTTTTTTTTTTCTTCCCCTGCACCTGAGGAACCTGCTTGAACAGCAAAAAACATTGTTTGCAATTTGCCCTTTGCTCCTCTGTGAATAAGTGAAACCTCCAAACATGCGTTAATGCTGCAACAACTCACGCTGCTGCTGCTCCTGAGCGAACAGTCCCACAGCAAACACAGACACCGACACTCATCCACACTCACTTTTAAAAACCATAAATCCATGTTCGTCTCGCAGCTGGCGGGAACTACTCCCTGAACAAACTTCCTGTCGCAAACTCATCAATGATGTTCTGCCGAGTGAAAAAAAACAGATTTAACAGATTCCTGCTTTCTGAAAGTCAAATAAAGTTTGGCATTAAAATCCTCAGACAAACAGCAGACGTGTTAGAGTTGTCAGCGCTGCAGCCGCAGACATCCTGGAGCAGAGGCACCGTCTCAGATGTGTTTACACTGTCTTATCTTTATAATTTGGGGCTTCGTGCGACTCTGGTTGTTTGATGAAGTGACGGTAAGGTTACGCAAACTCCGCATGCAAACGCTGTGTGCACACATGTCATCTGCCGAGCGTGATAAGGTCGCAGTTTATGACCATTGGCAGCATTTCTGCACTCATTATTATCCTGTTTGGACAATGGGACACCAACAGTGGCTCCATCGCATCCTTGTTTGCACAATTAACAAAAGGGCATTGAGTCACTCTCCTCACCCGTTTTCACAGCGACCCCTCCGAGGAGACGGTGATATGCTCTACACGTGTCCACACATTATTCCATATATTCTCCTATTAGTTAAATTCTTGTGTCAACTCAGGTTCTCTGACAATTCCTCATTTCCCGAGAAACGTGAGAGGAAAGGAACATAAAAAAGAGAAGCTCCCTGACTTCAGTGTCTTTGACGTGACTGAAGAAAAGGTAAGAGCATGTAATTACAGCTGAATAGTGAGTTAACCTCTTCACCCCGGCCTTAACACTGTCACTCAGAGCTTCAACTTAGCACTTAAGTAGGTGGATTTCCATTCTGCTGATGGTGCCTGATGTGAATAAGGATCACGGCCACGTTGCCTCAGATTAAATCATTTGCAGGGGTTTGTCGGATTTAGCAGAGAGACAGTCGGACTGAGACGAGATAAATATGTACCGAACTCACACACTTATAATCACAAAGGGAGAAAGAGGTTGACGCACATGTGGAAATTATTCTGAAGTTGATTTATCTGAGTTAAAATGAAATTCAGACTCTGTCTTTTCTTTTTCTTATTTTGTTTTTTGGCCACTGTGTAAAAAAATATGAACATCAAACGCCACGAGATATTCGGAGCTCGTCAGCAGGAAGATCATGAGTTCAGCTCGAGAAACAGAGACACGCGACTGGTAAACATCCCTTCGGCTATAATTAAAGAAACAAACCAACTAATCTAACTTTCCCCCCGCAACTGTTTACAATAATTTGACAGTGCGAGAAAGTGCTCGGAATAATTCCCCTCTGAAGTCGTCAGTTCTGCTTCGGCACGGGTTTTTTTACTTTTGATCCAAATCAATCTCGTATCACGTGAGCGTAAACATAAATATTTCCAGCCTTCGAGCCGCGGTCCCAGCACAACTCCAGCTCCCCCCCGTGAGGCCGCGCTTCAACTTTGGTTTGTCAGAGAAAATACTGCGTTTTGTCTTGAGTGAATTTGAATTCATGAAAATTTAATTCAGCGTACACAAGGTTCGGTTCGGTACAGAGTGATGGATTCCTTTTAATAAACGTTATTGTGCCGACGTGTTTGGCAGAAGAGGCTTCTTCCTCCGGCCACACAAAGGAAGGAGACACATCTCCAGAGAGCACTGGCACACCAGGCACTTATTTTGCATCGGTGTTGGTCTGTAATGCATTTCACTAATTGTGTTTGTGTCTAAGAGATTACAATTTAAAATGAAAAGCATTGGAGGAGCGATGCAAAACTGTATTTACCCCAATCAGGCAAATGCAGATGTGTATCGTGTCTGTAATCTCATTGCCTGCAAAAGTTAATGCAGCGCTACACTAAGAGATGTAGTTTCCCAACTTCAAAGTGTTTTCATGCTCTCTCCTATCAGATGATCCTAAATTATTATCCGATCAACATTTGCTTTAGGTCGTCCTGACCTGGAGGATAGAGAGATGTATTGAAAGATGCTTTTTGGAACCCTGCTGTTGCTGACAGACTCAACATGCCCGGCGAGAGTTGCACTCTGGCGATCACTCATCCGCCCTCTGTTTACCTTGCAGCTTGGTCTTGGGGATTTTCCCACAGGGCTTGGTGGCTGTGACAGTGGTGGCGCAGGTCGCGTCCATGAGCGCTCGCTTCAGTATGCCCGTCCTGTTCTTCTTGCCCGTCGCCAGATCGCACTCCCCCCACGCCTGGAAGTCGTACTTGCATTCCCCTATAGCGCACAGAAAGAGAACAGACATTTAATTACGCTTTTGTTTTGGGGAAGCAGCTCCGAGGATTCTTGGTATAGACCCAACCGAGCAGAAAACCTGGTGAAAATGACACGTTGCAGCTTCTATATTTGTTTTAAACAGCAGCGAACTGCAATCAGTCAATGGAACGAGTCCATTGAGCCTGAGGAGCTGCGAGTCTTACTCTGTGAATGGCTGTTTGATGAGAATTTATAATTTATTTGGCTATTATCTGCATCCTATTAAATGAGAAGTGTCCAGGATCAACAGAGGGAGTTCTGCTAAAGCCCGGATCACGAGACGCTCTTATTAACGACAATATAAAAGTGCTGATTGCTGTTTGCCAACAGGAACAGATGGCAACTCATTTATTGATCTTATATCTCCTATACGATGGAACGCGCTAACAGATGAATGTAATCAAAACCCCCGCCTGGCTGCCGTGGAGCCTGGAAATAACGGACAGATACAATCTTAGCAGCAGAGCGAGTGGAAGCACTTACTGCAGCAACTCAAATAAATTTCACACATGTGCTTTCATTTGATATTGAATTTAATCCATCTTAAACTCAACCCCAGAGGATGTAAGATTGCTCCAGCGCGCAGCAGCAGTGGCTGTCGTATGGTAAAGAAATGTATTTTGAGGAAGCGTGTGTGTGTGTGTGCG